CCCAGGCGGAGGGAACAAATGCACTGAGGTCAGCGTGGCCTCAGGGGCTCCTGTATGCCTTCCCTCCACTTCCACTCATTCCTCAAGTGATAAGCAAGCTCCTGACCGAAAAGGCAGACCTCCTTCTGGTGGCTCCCTTCTGGCCCAGAAGGCCCTGGTACGCAGACCTGATCAGTCTCTCAGTTCAGAGACCTTGGAGAATTCCCCGGGACAAGATTGCCCTCAGCCAAGGGGCCATCGCCCATCCGGAGCCCCAGTGGCTGCAGCTAGCCATTTGGCACTTGAAGGGGAGCTCCTGAGAAAGCAAAAGTTCTCTGACCAGGTCCTTTGAACAATCCAAGCGTCCAGGAGGCCTTCTACTACTAGAATCTACGATGCCACCTGGGCCGCATTCTCACAGTGGTGCAAGACTAGAGACATAGAGGCCTCATCAGCCTCGATTCCTCAAACCCTAGACTTCTTGCAGGAGGGTCTAGATAAAGGACTTGCTGTTAGCACCCAAAGACGTCAGGTTGCAGCACTGTCCACTATTCTAGCTAGGAGTTCCTCTCGCTCTCTGAGTCAACATCCTCAGATCAAGAGCTTTCTTAAGGGAGCTGTGAACATCAGCCCTCCAGCTGTTCACCGGTATCCGTCATGGGACCTTCCATTCGTGCTTAAGGCTCTGACGAAAGCCCCATTTGAACCTTTGCGCACGACCAGTCTACGCCACCTTACCATCAAAACTGCTTTCCTGGTGGCTATTACATCTGCACGCAGGGTATCCGAGCTGGCAGCTCTTTCTGTCAGGCAGGATCTGTGCGTAGTTCATCCGGACAGAGTAATTCTGAGACTTGATCCGTCCTTTACTCCGAAAATTAACTGTTTCACAGGACTCAAGAGATTATTTTGCCCAACTTCTGTCCCCGTCCTTCTCACCCTAAGGAACATGAGTGGCACAAGTTGGACATGAGATGAACCGTGCGCACGTATGTAAAGAGAACAAAAGACTTCCGCTATTCAGAGGCGCTCTTTGTCTCCTTCCTCCCTGCGTCTCTGGGCCACAAAGTCTCCTCACACACAGTGGGTCGTTGGTTACGTGCTTGCATAAAGCTGGCATATGAGCACCAGGGCAAGACTGCTGCAAGCCGGGTCACCACACACTCCACGAGGAGCGCAGCAGCTTCTGCAGCCTGGGCAACACAGGCTTCTATTCTTGACATTTGTAGAGCGGCCACGTGGGCCTCTCCCACGGCTTTCATTAAAAACTATAAGATTGACACCTTTGCCTCAGCCGAAGCCTCGTTTGGCAGAAGAGTATTACAAAGAGTGGCTGAACTGCCAGAGTCTCCGGTACTCCCCACCCTGGGACTCAATAGCTTGGGCATGTCCCAGCATTGGACTCTCNTGCAAACCCTCGCCCAGCGGCTGCTGGTGAGCAGCAGGGGCGGTGGGAGATCTTCCCAACCTGACCCCAGGGACTTTTAAAAGAAAAAAACCCCAACCGAGGGTTCGGGAGCCTGCAGGCGTCTTAGCTGCTGGCCACTCGGCCGCTCAACTCTGCCCGGCAACAGCAGTGATGGTTGGAACCTTCGCGCGCTTTTCTGGGCTGTGAGGCTAAAAAGAGTGGGAGGCGGCTGTGCATGCACCCGCCGCCATTTTGGATCGCTCCGAAGTGAGGCGAAGAGCAGAGAACGCGCGGCTCGCTTGGAGAGCGAAAATTCTTCCAGCGCTGCTCGCGGAGAAGCGGAGAGCCAGGCAGCCCGAGCGGAGCCACAGCCAGCCCTCAGCGACTGCAGAATGCCGCAGGGAGGCTGGAGATTAGTCTGGGGAGCCAGCTAGTCTCTCCCTCCTGAGAAGAAGCTAAGTCTCGGGGACCCGAGGGCAGTGGGAGGAAGGAATCCGACCTCCAGGCGGCCCTTCCCTCCTGAAGAGTCTGCAAGCGTATTTGAGCCATTTTGGCCAGCGCGTGCCCATCCCAGCTCCAGCTAGCTTCCAGGCCCCGTGGGTGCCCTGAGCATGGCAGAGGAATGCAGGGAGGCCTTAGGGGACCAGGCAGGGCCTTCCAGCAAGCTGGATCACTCTGTGAAAAAAGGCAAAGGGCACAAGGGCTCTAATGAAAGGTCTTCACCAAGAGCCACAGTAGATCCCAGGGAGGTCTCTAGGCCCCATCAGCCAGAACCTAGCCCGAGCCATCATAACAGGGAGTTAGCTTCCCCTGATCGTGAGGCCCCTTCCCCTGGGGAGAGTGAATTTCTGTCTGGGGATGGCTATAGATCAAGGGATCCATCTCAAGAGGCTTCTTGGGGCTACCTTGACTCCCCTAGCTCCTCCATTGGGGAGGAACGTGACTCCATCCAGGATTCCCATTGTGAAAAAGGGGAATCCAGCTCAGGCAGGGCTGGCCATCGCAGGCCCAGCAAGCAGAAACTGAAGAGGGGTAAAGGTCCTGCTTTCTCGGATAAAATGAGGGAGGTGATTTCCTTAGCCATTTCTCAGAGGATAGCTGAAGGAATTAAGCACAGGGGCTCTCGCAAGACCAAGGCCCCCAAGAAAAAACGCCAACCTAAGGCCTCCACCTCCAAAGAGCCTGTATCCTCTTCTGACTCCTCCAGCCCATCTCATTCTGAGCTTTCCAGTTCTGAGCAGGAGGAGGGGGAAATTTTTGTTGTTTCTGAAGACGAAGACCTTACCCCTGATAAGCCGGCCTTCATTGGCCTGTTCAAGCCGTCTTTAATTAAATCCATCTTGCACAAGGCAATGACGCCTACGGAGCTAGGCCCCACTTCCAAGCCTGAGGCCGCTCCGACTTCTACCTCCAAGGATCAGAAACATGGCCTGATCAAAGAAACAATAGCAGCGCCTAAGGTCATTCCAGTACCTGACTTATTTATGGATGCGGTGCAGCGCCAGTGGCTACAGCCAGGCACACTGACCAACCCTAGTGGGGGAGACAGGGCACTGTATGCCCTGGAGAGGAAAATGGAAGACATCCTAAAATTCCCTGAAGTAGATGCCCCGGTTGTGTCCCTAACTTCCAACTCAAACCTACCTGCTGAGCTCCTAGAGGGTCTGAAGGCAGAAGATAAGAGGTCGGAAAAGGCGTGCCAGAAGACACACATGGCGTCTGCCTGGGCCATTAAGGCATCCACCTCTGCTTCATTTTTTATTAGGGTCACCTTATTTTGGCTGTGACAACTCAGATCTTGGCCGCCCCCCAAGAAAGCTAGATGGCGCCATGAGCTCACCAAAATTATAACTGCTGTCAAGTACTTGGCGGATGCCACCTTGACGCGGCCAAATTCTCATCCAGGGCCCTCACCTCCAATATCACCTCACGCCGTCTCCTATGGCTTAGACATTGGCAAGCTGAAATGAAAGCCAAATGGAAGCTGGCCTCGGCCCCATTTAAGGGAGGCCTTCTTTTCGGAGATGCTCTGGACAAGTTTGTCACCAAAACTAAGGGCAAACGCAAAATCCTCCCCGCTACTCTTAAAAGGGTGACCGTAAAGGGATGGGGTCCTTTCATAAGAGACCTTACAGAAGTCAGGAAGC